TTGATCTTCTTTTCCTCAAAAACAATTTTTCAATTTTTCTCAAATCGTTAAAAACGCGAATTTCTCTCAACGATTCTCTTTAGTGACATCCAGAATTGAGAAAATTGAAAATTTTTTGGAACAAAGTTCTAGCAGAACAAAGATTTTTGTTTAAGCATGATTTGCTCAATTACGATTGATTGAAAAATTAGAAAACTGACTCACTTTGAATGCTAAAAAACAATATGATAACCATATTTTGCAAATCGAGTAAAAAAATGCTTTTCTAATGGGGATTTGTGCGCCTTTTGTAGTCGATCCTCCCCGGATTTACATTTTAAGATGCGGGAAAAATTGAGTCATTTTTTTTATCTAAAAATAGAAACCACTTCTCAATTTTTAAGCTCATCCGCAAAAATTGATTTCATGATTTCATTTTGTTGAGGACTTTTTAGACTTTAGACACAAAAGTGGTGAAATCAAATTTTCGTCTCCAAGAATCCCTTTTCGAAAATTTTTCTGTACAAACGATTTCCCCAGCAATTGGTTTCACTATTGTGCATTCCAGAAATGATATTGCTTTTTGAAATTTTTAAAATAAACGAAGCAGCTCGCCGGAAATCACCCAGCTATGTATCGCTGGGTGAGGCCAGGATCGCAGTCTCGAAGATTTTCCTGTGTAAACGATTTCCCCAGCCATTGTTTTCACTATTGTGCATCCCAGAAATGATATTGGCTTTTGAAATTTTAAAAATAAACCAAGCAGCTCGCTGGAAATCATCCAGCTATGTGTCGCTGTGTGAGGCCAGAATCCCTTTTCGAAAATTTTTCTTTACAAACGATTTCCCCAGCAATGGGTTTCATTATTGTGCATTCCAGAAATGCTATTGGCTTTTAAAATTTTTTAAATAAACCAAGCAGCTCGCTGGAAAACACCCAGCTATGTGTCGGCCGTTTGCCCAAATTTCCAAAACGGTCCCCATCCCTCTCCCAGCAGCGCAAAATATTGGCTGCCATCCAGGATCGCCATTTTTGACAAAAATTTCCGAAATGCTTTTCAGATATTCTGTTCCGATCGAGGAACTCATTCTCTGGGGCACTTCTATTAGAAAAAGCCGTACCAGTCTTTTAAGATCATTTAGATCATTAAGATCATTCGTACCAGTCTCGAACTAAATGCCATTCTTAGCAATGATGACGTCTATGGTTGATGTTTCCGCTCATTTCCCAGTTCGTTTTTTTCAATTTCTCCAAATTTTAGTAATTCTATTCAATATCCATCTGATTTTCGAATCCATTCATTTCCTGTTTTTTCTCGTTTTCTTTTTTTTTCATTTTATGCTCTATGGATTTTGCTCGTGCCAGAAGAATGAATGCATTCAAATTCGTTTCTGCCTCGCAAAATCTTCATCTCGATTCAGTCAAGTGGAACACTGCAATGAATCATTTTTATTTTTTTTTCTTTAAAACTTTTGTCTCACTAACGTCGGATTATCGTTATTCTTTGAGTATCAGAATGCTCTCTTTAAGAAAAGATCTCTGTTTTCCGCCGACGCACTGAATTTGAAATTCCCCAGAAAGAGTGTCGGCGTCTCCAAGAATCTCCAAGAATCTTTGGTGAAATTCCTTTTCCTCGAAGAGTTTCCTGTACAAAACATTTCCCCAGCAATTGCATTCACTATTGTGCATCCCAGAAATGAAATTGGCTTTTAAAATTTTTAAAATAAAACAAGCAGCTCGCTGGAAATCACCCAGCTATGTGTCGCTGGGTGAGGCCAGGATCGCAGTCTCGAAGATTTTCCTGTGTAAACGATTTTTCCAGCAATTGGTTTCACTATTGTGCATCCCAGAAATGATATTGCTTTTTGAAATTTTTAAAATAAACCAAGCAGCTGGCCGGAAATCATCCAGCTATGTATCGGCCATTTGCCCAAATTTTCCAAATTTTCAGAAACGGTCCCCATCCCTCTTCACACTAGTGCAAAATATTACCTGCCATCCAAAATTTTTCAAAACCCTTTCAGAGATTCTATTCTGATCGGTGAACTCATTTGGGGCAGGTGAATCATCAAAATAGAGCTGAAATTTTATTTTTCCAAACTTCCTCTGCCTCATAGGGCTTCCCGGGGCATTTTCCAATTAGCATCAGGAAATTCGCCTCGTCTTTTTTCCCAGGGTTCCCTAATCCCATGGATTGTGACGTGGCTCGGTCTCGTCAGAAGACAAAAAGGCGCTGGTCGGTTTTGAGGCGGTTTTTGAGGCGAATTCGATCATTTCTTCTTATTTTCTTCCATTCTGGATGTCATGTTGTTGCTTTAAAAAAAAAATTTTCACAAAAAGACAATTTTTAAAGAAAATTTTCCCACCTTACTACCAAATTTCAAATTTTCTCCAAGACTACAGACATCTTTCTGGGAAACTTTTTGGCTAGTGTGACTTCCAGATTGAAAGATTTTTGTGCTTTAAATCCGCGAACTCTTGAAAAATAGCTAGAAATGGCAGAAAAATCTAAAATTTAGCTAGAAATGGCACAAAAATCGCAGCAACCGGATTCGAACCAGGGTCGATGCTGGTTCCTGGCTTCGTAGCAAAGCCCTAACGCACTGCGCCATACTGGCAATGGTTTAAAGCTCTGTAAAATTAAGTTTTCTTGCCTGCGATTCAATTTTTTTTCAAAAATCACTTAAAATGTCAAAAATCGTTGTTTTCGAAAAACGAAAGAAAAAATTTTTTTTTTATTTTAATTGCCAATTTTCTTCTTAAAATGAATCAAAATTTTGTAAATTTCAAAAAAATTTTTTTTTGTCTCAAATTTTTGTGAAAAACAAAGTCTCAAAGGTGATAATTTTCGAAAATTTTCAAAAATCTTTCGTTAGTAAATTTCTGAAAGCGAAAATCGATTAAATGCCTTCCAGCTTGAGTGCCGATTTCCGGTTTTTACTTAATTTTGCGTTTTTTCGCCTTAATTTCGTCGCAACTCGTTTCACCAAGTGAAACGCGATAAAATCAGCGAAAAGATGGAGTTTTTAGAAAAGCTACATCAAAATTGGATGTCACATAAGGGTTTTATAGTGTTTTTAAAACGAAAGAATAAATTTAAAATTTTTGAATTTTTAGATTTCTTCGAAATTTAGTAAAAATCGGATTTTAATGAGGGTTTTGATAAAATCATTTTTTCTTTTTTTTTTCTTTTTTTTCTTTTTCTGTTAGAAACTTATTCTATTCTTAATTCCCAATTATCCAATCAATCTTTTCTTGTTTACATTTAAGCAGGTGAAACGGGGAATAGTGAGAGCTATCGCCTAGCTGACGCCTAGCCGATGATGAGCCTCCTTTCCCCTCCTTTTCCCTCATTTTCCTCACTAAACCCTAGCGTGACATCCAGCATTTCCCCTCGGTTCATGAGTTTTCTCCATTAGGCTTTTTTTTTCTTCTTTTTTTCGTCTCCAGTCATATCTGGGCCTTCATCAGTCCCTTCCTCCTCTCCGTCCTTCCCATCGCCTCTCGGGAGATCCCACTCCGAGATCTCCCATTCATTGAAAATCCAATTCTTTCCCTTTTCCCTTAGAGATTTCATTTTCTGAACTTTTATACGAGTTTTTATTTGAATAAGTGCTCGTTTTTTTTTGTTTAATGCAATTTTCATTTTTTTTATAACTTTCCTCTTTTTTTTATTAGCTTAGGGATCAAATTGGAAGTCACGAAAGGTTAAAAAATAAAAATTATTCATTTCTACGACTTTGACATGATGGCGCAGTGGGAAAATGGGGTTTTTTTTACAAAGCGCAGGGTCCTGGTTCGAGTCCGCTCATGAGCGAATTTTTTTTGCTTTTTCTTTTTTGGGTCAAAAACGGTTGACGAAGTGTTTCTAGATCATTTTTCTTTTCTCTTCTTTCTCTTCTTTAAATTATCATTTCTTGCAATCTCGGATCGTCTTTTCGGCGCTTGTTTTCTCGAAATTGATGGAATTTTTTTGACAGACTCTTTCCTTTTTTTTTTCGCCCTCGATTCTCGAGATTTCCCTCACCCAAAACCCGAAAGTATTTCCCCGAAAAATTGAACACATTCTTGCCTAGCTTATTGTCATTTATTCGGTTAATCGCTAGTTTCTATAAAAGACGAAAATGGTAAGCGTTTTTTGTAGTAATTTTTGTAGTTTCGTCAAACTAAAATCAAAATCTAAAAACAAATTCCTCTCTTCTGGATGGCACAAAAGAGAACTAGTCACGTTGGAAGAGCGGAATCGTTAATCGGGGTGTTAAGGCGGAGGCTGATCAAGTGCACAGGTCTAGCTCTGAACTGGAGGCTTCTAAATAAAAGCTAAAGCCAAATCTTTCCATTCTGGATATCACAGATAGAGAGCTAGTGGGTTTGGAGCAGCTAAGAGCAATTTGGGTTGGATGGATGGGTGGGTTGATCAAGTGCGCAGGTCTAGCACTGAACTGGAGGCTTCTAAATAAAAGCTAAAGCCAAATCTTTCCATTCTGGATATCACAGATAGAGAACTAGCGGCTTTGGATAAGCTAAGAGCAATTTGGGTGGGGGTCAGTCCAATGGTCCAATTTCGACCCCAATTTCGAGCCGCCCCTCGGCCAGCCCTCTAGATTCGATTGGGGTTCATCCCATCCCCAAAAAGCCCAAGAGATCGCTTCTTTTGTTCGAAAAGCAAACATCAACATAGCCAGGCCGAGCATTTTCACCACCAGCATCCATCCATCCATCCATCCATCCCACCATCCCCACCGTCATTCACACGGCCATTGATCCTCTCCACACAAATAGCTCTTCCCCTCGAAAATTCGTTCGTAAAAATGCTATGAATGCTTTTTATGGATGTCAGCCTTGATTCTGAAAAGATAAGAAAAGAAAATGAGGGATTTTTTTGATATTTTGAATTTTGTTATTTTGATACTTTTTGAATGAATTGATTTTAACTTTTTAACTTTTTTAAATTACTTTTTTTTGAATTACTTTTTGAATTACTTGTGATTTGAATTTGAATTTGAATCCTTTGCTTTCAGATGTCGATATTCAAAAAGCTAAAAAAGGATGAGAAGGGTGCGAAAGGGGCACAATTGCCTGAGCCGGAGCCTGTCAAGCAACTCGACAAACGCGTTGGACTCGAATCCTACAGGTTTCTTTGGCTACATAAACTAGATAAACTAGATAAACTAGATAAACTAGATAAACTAGATAAACTAGATAAACTAGATAAACTAGATAAACTACATAAACTAGATAAACTACATGAACTTTTAAAGCTTTATACTACTATAGTAGTCTATATTTATCTATATAAATGCTGAGATATTGGCACAAAAAGCAATTTAGCTGTAGCAATTTAGTCAGAAAGCAATGTAACCAGAAAGCCGAAAACAGAAAAATCGAAGAATTTTTTCATTTTCATCAATGCATAGCAAAATCGAATAAACGATAAGACAAAAAAAGATTTTGGTGAAAATTCGAATCCTAAAAATCCTAGTGTGACATCCAGATCGAAGAAAAAAGGCAATTAAAATAAAATAGCTCTTCTCAATTTCTTGGAATCATCGCGAACTCTCTGCAGTGCACATCCAGTACAAATTTTTTGTTGAAAATCAAAAATCTGAATCCTAAAAATTCTAGAGTGACATCCAGATCGAAGAAAAAATACAATTAAAATAAAATAGCTCTTGTCGATTTTTCGGAACAATCGCGAACTCTCTGCAGAACTGCAGAACGGCAGTGATCGCTATTAGAGAAATTCTGGTGCCAATTTTGAGCACAAATTTAAGCCAATAGTACGCTAGAAGTACGCTAAAAGCATTAATATAGCATTTTCATTTTATCATTTCCATTTCAGAGACTTCTTTACGCTGAAAAATTATTGGAAAACGGTGGATCGAAAGCGGCAAGACGCCGCCAATTCCATGATGCAAAGGTTTGAGCATTTCTGCACCAAAACTCAACATAAAATCCACATTTTTCAACTGAATGATTGTAGAGAAAAGGAACCAAATTTGTAGAGATAAGGAACCAAATTGTAGAGAGAAAAGGAACCAAATTTGTAGAAAAAAGGAACCAAATTGTAGAGAGAAAAGGAACCATTGTAGAGAAATGGAACCAAATTTCAACTGAATGACATCCATGATTTCCAAAAAATTAAAGCTTTTTGCTAAAATTTTCCTTGAAGCCGTTGATCTCTGAGGGAAATCGATCTCCCACGAAAAAGACGCCTGCTCAATCACGCGCCCAAGCCGCAATTCTAACGTAAATCACTTCCGTGCATTCCATAATTCATAGATTATCAACTTAACTTTGTGAAAACTTGCATATAAAGCCGAAAAATCGGACAGACTCAATTCTACAGATTTCTCTTTTATTTTATTTATCAAATTTATCAGACTTTTCTCACCAAAGATTAATGAGTTCGAAAAAACGTGCTTAATTGATCGAAAAGGGTTCTCATTTTCTTCTAAAATTCTTTGAAAAACGGTTTTTTTTCGAATCCTCTGAGATTAGAAGTTTTGGTTTTATTTTATTTAAAAACTCGGGTTTAAAGAAAAATGTTCAATTGGGGAGAAGCGAAAATTGTAATCTTTTATCTTTTGTCGTAATCTTTATCTTTTATTATAATCTTCTATCTTTTATTATAATCTTCTATCTTTTATTATAATCTTCTCTCTTGTATTATAATCTTTTATCATTTATTGTAATCTTTTATTGTAATTTTTTATTGTAATCTTTTATTATAATCTTTTATTGATTAACGTTTTGAAATGGTTAAATTAATCGTATTCAAGATTTTTCACTCGCTTCTTAACTGTAAAAGTGGTTTAAAGTTGTAAAACTTAAGAAGCTAGTGAAATTCCTAAGCCTAAGTGCTAATTTTTCTTGTTATTGACTTCTAAAATTGTCTGAAATTAGTTGAAAAATGCCTTAAATAAGCGGAATGGCTCAGGCTCAGGCTCAGGCTTAAGCTTAGGCTTAGGCTTAGGCTTAGGCTGGTTAATTTTATGTAAAACTCTATATCGATTTAAATAAAATTGTAAAAGTGGTTTTAAACTTAATAAAAAATAGTAGAAAGTTGAACTTTTACTAAAGTTAGCTTTGAATTTAATTAAATTTGAATTCTTTGACTTGAATTCTTTGAATTTCAAATTTTATATCCTGGTTTCCTTTTCTCATATCGGCTAGTAAACTCCCATTTTATTTTTTCTCATTACCAACTTGTGATTGTGTGAGAAAATCACAAAAATGGCGAGCCCACAGTTTATTCTATTAGCCTACGTCGGCGTTGAAGAGATTTTCGACTTTCCGACTCAAAAAGTCTTTTCATATGGGAAGAAACGGGGAAAATGAGTGCCAATTGGCGGATCGGAGAGCTCAGACAGCAAAATTTTCTTTTGAAATTCGCTCATTTATGGCCAATCTCTTTCCCACATGGCTGAGTCGATAATTGTAAATCCGGTCGTTTCTTGGCCGCCTGATTCCCCGAGAAAGAGCCAGCTTTCCTTTTTGCGCACAAGTTTTCCCCCCAACATACCTTTTTTGAGATGCCACACCTTTTAAAGACTATCCTGGAGCGCACACTTTGCAATAGTTTAACTTTAACTGTCGTTTTCTCCTTGGTCGTCATGGCCGATTGGCTAAGAGCTCTGTATCTTCTCGGATACGCTGAGAAATGTGCCTGCTCAAGTCCTTCTCCTATCCTTTCCTATTCGAGCGTCAAGGGTTCAATCCCAAAATGAGAAATCCCCACTTAATGATAATTCGCGCCGTTTTAGAAACAATTCTATCCAACTGTGACTTCTTTTTAAGGGAATCTCTGCATCAGCAAATCGATTAGCTGCTTCGTTCCAGATCATTCGCTTTTTTCAAGAATCTATATTGCCAAAGCTTCATCAATCTCTTTTGACGTCAAAGTGCGTCCGTCACTATCGAGCCGCTTCCCTTTTTCGTGCATTTTTATCGGCTATCGTTGGACAAAAGCTCGATCAATTTTGTAGAATCTGGCAGCGGCATGAACGGAGACTTCGCGAGTCATTTTTGAAGCATCGAGTCTTCGCATCTATTGCTTTTTTCTTTCGCTTTAACTTGTTTGTTCCCTAGTTTGCTTCTTTGTCCGACTTCACGTGCAATTCTTCGTTCAATTCACGTTGATTTTCTTGTCCTTTTCTTGTCCTTCTTCAAAGAATCTGGGTCATGCTCATGTCGATCGCGAAACGCTTCAAAGTCATCCCATCGATCGCTTCCTGATCGCTTCCTGATCCCTTCGTGATCACTTCCTGATCGCTTCGTGATCGCTTCGTGATCGCTTCCTGATCCCTTCGTGATCGCTTCCTGGTCGCTTCGTGATCGCTCATCAAGCCTAAAAAAATAAAATTATCAAAGAAAACGAGAAAAGAAATGCTAGAAAAGCAGTAAAAAGGAGAAGAATTAAATGAAAATTTTATTTTATTTTTTATTTTATAAGCTAAAAAGCGAAAAGCCGAATATCTTTATATTTCTCCTAGACATTAAGATATTCAGTTAAGGGGCGCTATTATTACAGGTATTTATTCGCTCTGCTTTCTGCTTTCTTTCACTTTTATATTTGAAATTTTTTTGATCAAATCCAGCCAACAAGTCTGCCACTCACCCTAGTCAAAATTCGAATAAATTCTATTTTTCTAGAAGTCAACGCTTTCGAATTTGACAGCATTTTCGCTTTATATGACCATTCGCAATCTTTTGAAACATTTCTTTTCAAAATTTTCTTTCAAATCAATTCTGAAGCTCAATTCCCAATAAATCTATCGAAGTTTTCTATATTTTTCAATTTTTCACTTCTTTTCCATCAACTTTCCTCTTTTTGAGCCAAATTTTATGCGATTTCCCCGACTCCCGACTGAATTCGCAAAAATCATCTCGAAATCATCTCGAAAATCACTCATTAATTTTTGCTTTTTGTCTTTTTATCTGAAATTTTTTGTGTTTTTCAATTCTCAATTAAGGGGTACAAGTCTGGGAATTTGCACTCAACAGGCATCACTTCGAAAAAGCGATTTTTCTCGAAATTTCCCAATTTTCGAACGATGCTGAGGGAATAGTGCCGATTTCGTCAAAGTATTCACGCTAGATTTCTCGCCAAATGCCAAGCTGGATATCATCGTCGAGTTACACGAGGATAGAGAGGATATTCGATAATTGATTTCCGAGATGGGCTCCGGCTCATCGGCTCCCAAAGCCGCCCCACCGCCGCCAGCGACTGAAGAGAAAAGCCCTGAAGCCGAGCAACCGCAAACCGATCCCCGTTTACCATATTCGAATTTTCGCGAAGTTTTCACGCTAAAGAATTTCTGGAAAACGATAAGGAGAAACGAGAAAGATTGCGGGAAAGCCATGTTTGCTAGGTAGTATCAATTTAATGTTTAGAGTTGTTTTAAAATGCTTTTTTTTAAGCCAAGTTTAAACCAAAGCTTGTTTCTATCTGGTTTTTCTTTTTCTTTTTCTTTACCCTATTGGAACCGTATTAGATCCGTATTGGATCAAAAAAAGAACCGTATTGAAACGAGTTTCTTTCCCAAATTCAAATTAGTTATCTTGTTGGACTTTCAGGAAAAGCCTGGACAGCCTAGACCTGGCTGTCCAGCCTGGACATTCGATTTGTTTAAATTTTAAGCTTTCAAAGCTCGTCGATGAATCGATTTACATTGTTTTTCTCTTTTTCAAAATTCTTTTTAGGGCTTGTATTTTTGCCGGCTGACGTAGGCTGTCTTCATTTTGTAGCCAAGAAAATTTCCCACAAAAATCATGGCTTTTGGTAGTGGATTAAATTAGGAAAGATGTGCTAGACGCTTAGAAAAATAAAATGAAAATGATATTATTAGGGAAAATGATGTTATTATTCAACAATATTGTATTTTTTAAAATTTAGATACCTCAAGCAACAACCTGACAACAAAGCAATGTATGCAAAGCTGAAAAATGTTGATGTATCGACGCTTGATGCGGCTTGTAGTGATACTGGTTTTGAAACAATTGCCGCAAATTATTTAAAGGTGAATTTTAAAACATTTTCCGTAAACCATTGCTGTTGATTTAGGTATTTGATGATGTCGTTCAAGCGGTTGAAGAGAAACCGGGTGACGTGCAAGCGGCTTGTGATCGATTGACGGCTGTAGGAAAAATGCATCGAACAAAGGTGGGCAAGGTTTTTGGCTCGTTGTTATACAACACTCAAAGATTGATTCTTTGAGCTATGGTCCGCAATTTAGCCAATCTCTAGAGAGTAGTTGATTAGGTGAAAAGTTCGCAAACAAACTTTCCCCAAAGCATTAGCCACAACAATTTCCTTGTTTAAAGAAGTCCCTGGCTTTTGGCTTTACGAAAAGATCTACTTTTAAACAAATCTTTAAGCAGGAATGTACAGAGTTGAGCAAAATTACCCGAACAACTTTTGTTGACAAGTAGTTCTCGCATTTATTTCAAAGTGTCAAGTGTTATATAGAGAATTGTAGCGCTTAATCTTGGCTACATTTATCTACTAAAAGCTTTTCAATCGGATGTATACAGATCATTTAACAAACGCTTGAATGATCACTAATCCCCTATCCGACGTGCTGCCATTTTTAACGTTTTTCTGCATAAAAAATTGTTCAAAAAAGGTTTTGTCAATATTATTTAACATCATTAATAATATTAAAGATAACTTTGAATGGTTTTGGCTAATTTGTTTGGCGGTTTGGCTAATGGCTAATCAAAATCATGCAAAATCTAGCTTCTTTAGAGAAAAAGTTGAAAGTTGATCATTTTTTGCTATTTAGTTCACATGAATATCTCGTTATAGCGCTGAAATTGTTGGAAATAATTTGTTATGCAATAATGTTATATAATGCAATAATAATAATGCACACAAATTTTATTAGATAAAGTCTTTTAGATAAAAATGTAGAAAATCGTTTAAAAATGGCATCGTGGGATTGACTCGATTCAAACGCTTGTTAAATGATCTGCATAAATCCGATTGAGAAGCTTTTAGTAGATAAATGTAGCGAAGGTTAAGCGCTACAATTCCCTATATAACACTTGACACTTTGAAATAAATGCGAGAACTACTTGTCAAAAAAAGTTGTTAGGGTAATTTTGCTCAACTCTGTACATTCCTGCTTAAAGATTTGTTTAAAAGTAGATCTTTTCGTAAAGCCAAAAGCCAGGGACTTCAAAAAAAGTTGTTAGCGTAATTTTGTTCAAGGCTCAACAAGTCCAGACTCAAGATCAGGCTAATAATCTGCCCTAAATCAGCTGTAGAACTCTTGTTATCTATCTATCGAATTATTGATTTACTTTTTTACTTTTACTTTTACTTTTAGGTCTCCGGCATGGACAGTTCGGCTTTTCAACAAATGGAGGAACCGTTTTTGTTTATGGTTGGTGATGTGCTGCAGGATCGTTTCAACGAGAAAGCCGAGACCTTATTCCGAAAGTTTTTCCAATTTTGCCTCAAATATTTGCTTGAGGGCTTTAATAAGTAGATTTTTGATATACCTCTAAAAGTCTCCTTTTGGCTTCTTTTCGCCTAGCATCTTGTCGTTATTTTGTCCGGTTCACACATTGATAAAACACCTAGTCGCAGCAAAGAAAACGTGTAGTGATGTTTTTCAGTTCATTCTTTTTTCTTCTTTAATTTGATTTTCTTCTTTAATCTGATTTTCTAATGAGTTTTGAAATTTTTATCGCAACTTTTCACAAATTCAAATTAGTTTTTTGCATTGCGTTGCGTTGCCTAGTGTGCAAAAGTGGCGTATCATATTTACCGGCAATAATCGAATTTTTTTTTCTTCCTTTTTGTAAAACCCGGGTTAAACCCGTGATTTTTCATCACAAAATACAACAAAAAAAAACTTCTCACAATTCCTCTTTTTTTTTCTTTTTAATCTGCATTTTCCGGCTGATGAATTTCTTCTTTTTTTTTCACGGATTTGCTCACACTCGCCATCCATTTTTTGATAGTTATTCAATGTGTTTGTTTTTTTCTGTATTCAAGGGAGTGGGACAAATGCGACCTTTTTTTGCGCACCTTGCCCATTAGCGCACCTTTTTTCGCGTTTTAAAAAAGCTAATATTAAACTAAAGCTCTAAAAAGCTAATATTAACCAATTTCTATTCCAAAAGTTGCTTTTCTAGGTAATTTGAGGGTGCCGAATTCGAAATTTTGACATATCAGAGCGTGTGGAACCAATTTGAAAGACAAAACGGGCTAGATCAAATGACAATTGTTGCGTAGAATTACAATTGTTGATTTTTCTCTTTGTATAACTCCGTCCGTTCGCTTCCACAAGCTCTGATATGCCAAAATTTCGATTCTACGCCCTAAAATTACCTAAAAAAACAACTTTTGGAATAGAAATTGGTTAATATTAGCTTTTAGAGCTTTTTAAAACGCGAAAAAAGGTGCGCTAATGGGCAAGGTGCGAAAAAAAAAGGTGCGCAAATATCCGGGTGCGCAAAAAAAGGTCGCATATGTCCCACTCCCGTATTCAGCTAAAAACTCTATTTTTCTTGTTGCTTTGAAATTTTCAATTTCTAAATATCCCCAGCTTTTCAAGTTAATTTTTTTTTTGGATTCTGTACATATTTTCAAAAAAATTTAATTCCAAAATGATAGATTTAATATTCTTTTCGACGTTCAAACGTTGAGAATGTTTGTTTTTTTGCAATTCCTTACGCTATTGTTCTTTTTCATTTTTTTTGGGAATCAATCTCGTGATCTCAAATGTTTTTACTCTTTTTTTTTCTTCTATGAAGCCCGATTTATGAGCAGAAAAATAAAAGATGAATACAGCAATGTTTAAAATAGACAAAATGAGCATATTGCGCATTGGATTTATCAAATTTGGGATTTTATGTTTAAAAGTAGACCCTGTTGAATGATTGAGATTACCCGTAATCAAAAAATGAAACCGCACAGCAAATCTAGCTAAACATAAGAACGAAATGATAAAGCAAAACGAAATGAACGATTATAAACGATTATAAACAATTATAAACAATTATAAACAATTATAAACAATTATAAACAAGTATAAACGATTTAAAACGAGTATAAACGATTTAAAACGAGTATAAACGATTATAAACGAGTATAAACGATCATAAACTATTATAAACGAGTATAAACGAGTATAAAAGATTATAAACAATTATAAACAATTATTAGGTTGATGCAAAAGTCTTTTTCATTTTTTTCGTACTTCCGTTAAAAAGTAACAAATGCACCAATTGAACAACGGTTTATTGCATTCGAAAGGCCAATTATTTTTCTGCAAAATGACATTAAAACGAGTTTAAAATGTCTTATGTCTAGATTTTTTTGAGACCCTGAAGTCGGGTAGTCAAAAAAGGCGACGGCTCGATGATGCATTTTAGACGCTTTAGCTAAGGAAACCAATCTTGATGTTAATAAATAAAAGATAGAGCACAAAAAGTTAGATATTTTTTCAGATTTTCAGAGAAATTGATTCAGCCAATTTCTTTATAGAGGTTTTTATAGATTTTTATGAAAAACCCGTTTTCACTCTCGAATTTGCTTGAAAGTGAACCCAAATTGACAAAAGATGGGAATTGAACAATAAACACTTTCATTTAGAGCAAACCATAGGTTAATTGATGACTTTGTTATTTTTCAAAAGAAGGACGAAAAAAATGAAAAAGACTTTTGCATCAACCTAATATAAACGAGTATAAACGATTATAAACCACAAGCATACTTGAGTCCGATCATAATCGCTGCCGAGATTAAACCTAAAGTTATTTAAGAAATAATCTAGTCAATTTTTCATTGTCCAACCTGCAATTGGTAATGTGACAATCCACGAGAAAGCAATATTTCTGAAGATTTTCCATTTAATTCCCTCTCCCGATTTCACCGTCCCAACAAACACCACTGAACCCACCTAGAATCAATCATTTCGTTAATTTGTCTTTGATTCACTAGGCAAAACAAAAACTAGGCAAACCAAAAACTCACTAGGCAATGCGTTGTTGAAATCGGCAATCCCAACTTTGAGGCTATCAATGCGGTCAGTGCGGCACCGAACTCGATCGTGAAACCACTAGAAACATTTGATTGAGTTAATCATTTAAAAGTTGATCATTTAAAACATCATTTTACCTAGCCGGATTCACTTCACTCATATTTGTGCCAACTGTTTTGATCACTCGATGCCCGAGAATCCAAAGCCCCACACAAATGCCGACAACTAAAATTAAAAGATCAGCAATACAATAGAGTACAGCAGTACAGCAGTACACCAAGACAGCATACAAAAAAATTAATGCGAACAACTCACCTCCATAAAGTAAAACATAGATTGGTGTCGGCTTGTCTTGATAAACATTTTCATCTTGATACATTGACACCATAGCAGCTAGAGGCGCGATAGCGTTTCTAAAAGGAAAACGTTTTCTAAAGCTTTTCAATGAAGCATTTCAATGATTTGAAAATCAAGCCTTTAAAAGTTAAAGTTAAATTTAAAAGACGTTAAAGTTAAAGCTAAAGTTAAAAGCTCAAGTTAAAGCTAAAGTTAAAGCTAAAGTTAAAAGCTAACGTTAAAAGCTAAAGTTAAAGCTAAAGTTAAAAGCTAACGTTAAAGCTAACATTAAAGCTAACGTTAAAAGCTAACGTTAAAGCTAACGTTAAAGCTAACGTTAAAAGTCAAATAAAACAGCTTCAAAAAGCTTACGCAACATCATTGGCCCCGTGCGCAAAACCGGCAAAACAAGCGGTAAACGTTTGAATCGTCGTGAAAAGGGTTAGCGTTTCTTTATTCTCAACACGATCCTTTTTAGGCAAAAGCCATTTGAAGAAGCCTCGAATACCTTAATTTAAACAACAAGAATAAGAATAATAATAATAACAAGAATAACAACAACAACAACAACAATAACAATAATAATAATAACAATAATTGGTTAAATTATGAGACAAAAAAAAACACTTATAGACCATTCAAAAGCCACATTTCCTAGAATCAAAAAAAAATGAAAAACCTGTAGCCGAAAGCTTTTCTTCTTGCTTCTCCTTTCTCCTTGCTTTTCTTCAACTCTCATCACCGCCAAATCGACTTGTGAGCTCTGTGACATAGTTTCTGGTGTTGGGATACCTAAAATGAAATATTTTAATCAAAATCACAAATCTTCAATTGGTACTTTTTGCTTTCTGGTTGTCGATGTCAATGCCAATAACGATGTCATTCGTGTATGCGCCGCGTTTCTTCTTCTCCAAACTTGTCAGGGCTAAAGTTTAAGCAATTGTTATAGAGTTAAATTGCGAAAAGATTTACAACAATATTTACAACAACAACAACAAACAACAATAACAACAACAATAACCTTGAGCCGTTCTGGCTCTCACTCGTGGCACCATCACGAATTGAATGATTAAAGCGGTGAGTAGGCCGACACTCAATGAGATCACGATCGCCAACCAGAGGGGCACAGCGGAGATGTGCAGGACTAAAAAAGATTGTGCAGTCTAATGAGGCGATTGTTTTTCAGCTTTGAAACCGTCTACTCACCTTTTGAGCCCTGATAAGTGACCATGAAAGCGTTGAAAGTGAAACAAAAGAAGAAGAAAATTGGCATCGCTTTCAGACCGCATTCGAGCGGGTTTTTCTGAAAGTTGCGACTTTGATGAAAGAAAAAATGATTAATGACTGTCGAGCGGAAGGTTTTCAACAATTTTAACAAAACAAAAACCTTACCCTTCTCAAAACGGCATGATCGACGATCAGGTAAACGGTTGTCGACATGAGCCCAGAGAAAATCGGAGAAATGAACCATGAGGCAACTGAAAGGTCAACGATTCAACGATTTCTTCAAAAACGAACCAATATTGATGACGGTTCTCCATTTAATTCCGTTCAGTCCTTTCAAAACAATTGAAAAGCCGAGCGTCGAGCCGACAATTGAATGAGTTGTAGAAATCGGTAATTGGAGGAGAGTCGCGATCATCAACCATGTTGAACAGCCTCAAGGAAAAGAAATTAAAGCTTTCAAATGACAGATGGACAGACAGACGGGGGGGGCAGACAGACAGGCTGGTAGATAGACAGACAGACAGATAGATAGACAGACAAACAAACAAACAGACAGACAAACAAACAGACAAACAAACAAACTCACCTCCCAAAATAGCCAATTGTCCAATCATCAACATTTTCGGTTCAGCCTCGTACAGCCCAATGTCGACGACAGATTTGCGCATCGTATCAATCACATTGTAGCCTGGGAAATTCGGGGTTACTGGGCAAACCTTGTAGGCAGAAGGAAAATTTCGGCAACTAAACCCACCGACTAACACCGATCCGAGAGTCTCGAAAATTGTCGCCAAAATGTAGGCTTGTATAAGAGTCAACACTTTGCTTCCCACTGATGTACCTGGATGGGGAAATTTACAAAATTTACAAAAATAGCTTTCAAGATCAAGAGATAAATCAAGAGATAAATCAAAGAGTTCATTGAAATCATTTGAAATTTTGGTGTAGTTGTAGCCACAAACCGAAAGCATTTGCCACATCGTTTGCGCCTAGAAATTCGAAAATATTTAAATCCAATTTCATAAAGGATTATTACCCATTCCAAAACCAAGCAAGAATGCCAAAATGATACCGACGATTAAAGCCCATAGAGTGTCGTGCTAAAATCGTTTTTATTGAAGGCCTTCAGGCTGCTCTCATAGCCGACTGGCTAAGAGTCTTGTCTCTTACTCGAGAGGTCGAGGGTTCAATCCCGCTGGCTGACTTTTTCTATTTTTTCGAAATGGATATAGGTTCTCTCTATATTTAGGGCTTAAGGATTGTTCTTTTGTATTGTTTAGACAATATTATTCATGTTAATATTAATTTTATATCGAATATCAATCTCGAATGCACTCACTTGAAACTCGCCCAGTGGGATAATCGTTGAGAAATCAGTCATTTTTTTTTTTTGAATCGATTTGGGTTTTTTTTAAGAAATCTAAAAGATTATAAAAGATTATAAAATTTGATTTTATATGCTAAAAGTATAAAAAGAAAGAAATAAAAAAAATCTTTTAAATGAACAAAATTAAAGACAAGAAAAGAAAAGAAAAGAAAAATGGCCGGTCACGGAGTATTTTTGAGGTTTTTTTGAACTTTTTAAAGCCCTGAAGAATCAAGAAAGCATACTTTTAGCGACTTTAACCCAAAATCGAAATTAGCTTTCTTTTCTGTACCAAAATCCAAAGAATTTCTATTGAGAACTCGCCGAAAATCACTGATCTTTCTTTATTCTCTTCTGTTTTTGAGAAGAAACACCTCTTTTTGTGCTTTTTTTTCGCCTTTAACTGACTCGGATTGACCGATCAACTGACCAAAAAGAAGAATTTCTCAAAAGTCAAGAAATCTAATTCGGATACCAATAGCTGGACCGTTGATCTCTTCGAAAAGGAAAAAAGAAAAAGATTCTACGAAAAATGGGCACTCTGGAGTGCACAGAGAAGGTTTATGGCTTGAAAATCTTGTAAAAGAACCGGATTTTAAAAATTCGAACGGAAATGGTCAATCTGGAGCGCATTGGAGAGATTTGACCGGAAAAAAATGCTGTCTGTCTGTCCATCCGTCCGTCTGTCCATCCGTCCGTCCGTCCATCCGTCTGTCCGCCTGTCCGTCCATCCGTCCGTCTGTCTATCTGTCCGTCTGTCCGTCCATCTGTCTGTCCGTCTGTCCGTCCATCCGTCCGTCTGTCTGTCTGTCCGTCTGTCCGTCCATCTGTCTGTCCGTCTGTCCGTCTGTCCGTCTGCCCATCCGTTTGTCCGTCTGTCCATCCGTTTGTCCGTCCGTCCATCCGTTTGTCCGTCATCCATCCGTCTCCCCGTCCATCCGTCTGTCACGCCTACGCGACAATACAAAGTACGTTAACGTAAAATTACAACGAAGTGAGCTAGAAAGCTGAAAATTTGTACTCGGGGGTTTTCGAGGGCGAGGAATCCGAATCTGCAATCAAATTTGTGCTACGTGCCCTCAGTACCCCTAAGTAGAGTGCGGCCGTGTAGCTGATTTTTGTAGCATCAGAAAATTTGAGTAAAAAGTTGTGAATTGTTTAAAATTAATGTAAAAGCTAGCAATATTGAAACAAGAAAAAAATGATATTGAAGCGAAAATGTAAATTCCGAAATTTTTCAGCGCGTAAACAGGATTATTCGAATTCGAAAAATACCCAAAAATAGGTCGCCCTTTGGAAATTTTAAAAACCCTGAGACTACCTTATCAATGTCGAAAAATTTCGAAAGACAAATGTTGACATATAAAGTTTCCTTTCATATAAATTTTCTTTTCATATAAAGTTTCTTTTCCGTTTAACCTTTCAAATAACAAAAGACTGCTAGCTGAGTGATTTCTTTGCTGTTTAAAGCAAAAAAAAACGATCCTCTATAGACATTGGATTCGGAAATGTTCTGGAAAAGATTTTACATCGAAAATGACTACAAAATAAAACTTTAAACACCGGAAAAGTCAAACTGGAACGCACAGAGGTTTTTTTATGAAAAAAAATGAGGGAAATTCGATGTTTTAAGGAAGTCGTCAATCTGGACTGGTCAAACGCCATTGAAAAACGGGTTTAGATTCAAGTTTTTAGATTTTTTTTAATTTAAAGGCTCAAACTGGAACGCACAGAGGACTTTTTATGAAAAAAAATGAGGGAAATTCGGTGTTTTAAGGAAGTCGTCAATCTGGACTGGTCAAACGCTATTGAAAAACGGGTTTAGATTCATGTTTTAGATTTTTTTAAATTTAAAGGCTCAAACTGGAACGCACAGAGGTGATTTAGTAGAAAATTTCGAAAATTTGATTGATTTGAAAAAATTTCGGGAAATTAGAGTGAGATTGAAATTTTAGAGCCAAAGAAAAACGAAGAATACTATAAAAAAAATGTTCAAGTGCTTTTATGTACTGAAAAATCTAGACAAGAAGCCTAGAAGCTTATCAAATTGTGAAAGAGAGGCTCTCGGTCAGTCTTTCAGTCATTTAGCCTTTCGGCCATTCAGCCATGTCATAGACAAAAAAAAACATTTCCGCAAAAGTCACTTTCCGGCTTTGATTACTTGATTTTCAGCTGATCTGCCTTCCAGATTGTATAGTCCGATTGAAAAAAGGGCACGTTTTTTGATAAAAAATCGGTGTTTAGTGAGGTCATTAAATCTAGGGGTATGCCTAAAAAAAGCTATTATCATTTTCAACTATCAAATGCCAAAATTTTAGCTTGTGTGCCTTCCAGATCAGATAGATTTGCTGGAAAAAAAAAAGCTTTCGATCAGTGGATCAGTGGATGAGTGGATCGGTGACCTGGTGACGTCACCAGATTCTAGAGGTAAGCAAGATCTTATTAGAGCCTATCGAAAAATCAAATTCTCGCTAGCGTGACCTTCAGATCGGATGGTGTCGCTCGTAAAATTGTTTTTTTTTCGGCACAAATCGATGAGCCGGCGGGCCGAAGTTGTTTTGAGTTAAGGCTTTTGCAATTCAAAAACCTTTAGTTTTAGGCTATACAATGTCAATTTGCGAAAAAAAGAGAAATGGGCTCAAAATGAAGGAAACTGAAGGAAGCTGAAGGACTAGGGCTGGGAGCGAAGGAGCTGAAGGGCGGGAGCGAGGGCGAGGAGGGGCTGGGTGAGGGGGGGGGGGCTGGGGGAGCTGAAGGAAGCTGAAGGAAGCTGAAGGAAGCTGAAGGAAGCTGAAGGAAACTGAAGGAAGCTGAAGGAAGCTGAAGGAAGCTGAAGGAAGCTGAAGGAAGCTGAAGGAAGCTGAAGGAAGCTGAAGGAAAATTGCCTCTTAAATGCCCACCGTAGCCCCGAAAAAAGCAGCCACATCCAGCAGCCCGTTATCGGCTGAATTCTCGGTGCAATTCTCGGTGTAATTCTCGGTTTTCCACGAAAATCCCCTTTTATTCAGCGTTTCTCCCCCGAAAAGAACAGCTCCATAAAATTCCAAACCACGACAACACCAATTTTCTTTCCGGGACGCATTCCCGATTTGTTTCGAGCGAAATTTCTGTGAAATTCCGTGTGATTCCGTGAAATTCCGAAATTTTTACCCGCCGACAAGTCACTGGACAGATTTACGGCTTTCAAAGCGCACAGAAATTTTTTAAACCAAATTTTCATTCTATCTGGATGTCAGCACGCGCTGATTTTCGGTTAAAAGTTTCGGTTTTTGAATTTTTCGATTTAATGCCGATTTCGCATTTGGGGTTCGACCGATTTTCTCGGTTACGAAAACTTCGATCACCCGATTTTCTTTTGTTTTTCTCGAATCTGGCACTCATCCTATAGGCTGAACGAATTCAATAACGGAAAATGCAAAAAAAAAATGGAGGTCGGCGAAGAGTCAAGAGTCAAGGATGACGTCATTTGATTGAGAGAGAGGTGATCGAGAAATCGGCGAAAAACGCGAAAAAGTGACTAGGGAAGGTAGACTGAGTTCCATGATGTCCATTTCAAACAAAAACAGAGAGAGTACAGATCCTCGAACTCGCGAGGAATGGGGAGGTGGTGGGTGGCTGTGACGTCACTCAAGAGCTGGGCGACTTTCCCCGTACAGAGTGCCTCAAAATCCGTCGAAATGAGGTGCACTCTTTATGCTGGAGTGCAATTTGAATATTTGACTTGTTTACAAAGCCGTTGTTTTAATTTTGATTTGCCCGTTTAACTGCTCGAATGAGTTTAAGGCTGACTCTCGAAATTTCTCAAGTCAACGAATTCCCAAATTGATTAAAATCTTTCTTCTGGAGCGCACACTAGAGATTTTCTTTGTTTTCAAAGCGCTTTAATCATTTTGAAATTTTAGATAGCTACATGAAATCACCAACGACAGCACGCGTAGAAACCCTCTTTTTATTGACCGAGAAAGGAGAGTTGGCAGAAAAATCGAGGTAATAAATTAAGTAATTAATTGGTAAGCTTAAAGAAATTTTAACCGAAACCAAATATTTTTTCTGAAGAAGTGCTAGTGTTCTTTGTGCGCATAATGGAATGCACAATCGCATTCAATCTGGTACATAGAAAGCCAGAAGCTAATCTTTAACTTGCCATCAACTGTTCATCAGTTCAGTAAGTAAAAATCAAAACAAAGTCTGAGGCAGGGATCGAACCTGCGAGGTCTCGCTTTGGAAACGAGAGCTTTACCGCTCGGCCACAGTTGTACCGAGAGCCAGGGGCTAAAAAGACCATTAAGAGACCGCTAAGACCAAAATAGCCAAAATAGCCAAAATGGCCCGAAATGCCGACATTTCCCGAGCCTTAACAAAATTTTAAAAGCTTAAAACTCTTGACAGATTGTCATTCACCAAAAACAGAATATATATTCGGAATCAGCGTGAAATTCTGCGTTGACTGGTATGGTCAAATGGCATTTGGCCGGGTTACAATAGCCGATAAAGGCTTTAGAATGGCAGCGGCCTGATTTCAAAGCTAGATAGCTCTTAATTTCCAGCTCCACACATCCATTTCTCCGCATCACCCTTCTCATCACCGCGTTATTCTTCGCATCATTGATTTCCCTACAAATTCTCTCTTCCACGCCATCAAATCGCACAAATCGTACTCACGATTTCGGAATGTGAGTTCTGAATTCTGAATTCTCATCATCTAAGCCAAAGCGTGCGCTCCAATTCGCCCACATTTAAACCCTCAAAGCTTTAGGGAGAACTCAACACAAGCCATTTGCGAGATCACCTCGACGAAAGCTCGAAAACTCGACGTGTGTTCGCTAGGAAATAAGGTAGCTAAAATTCAATTCAAATTTCAAATGCTCTACGATTTCCCAAATGCGATTTTTCAGGACCCAGCCGAGTACACGGTCTCTTGCGCCTATCTCGAACTTGATGGCGATCACCGAACGCAAATGTGTCTCATTCATCAAAAGGTGATCAATTTTTTGAAAATCTTAAACGGCAAATGATTCTGTGACATCCAGAATTCTTAATTCACCGTTTGAAACATTCAATTCACTATAGAAACGGTACCAAATTAAGCTCATCAGAATGGTGTAGTTGGTATTCGCAATTTTTGCAGATCACTCTCGAAAAGCATTCGCATTGGTTCCGTGCTTTCCAAAACTTTCATTTTTCAAAACGAGTCACATATTTTACAGAAAATCAAGTGCCAACATTATTGTGTGCTACGGGAGAAGTTGAAGGGCGTGAAATTCTGTTGTTGTACGGTGCCCGGTTGCAATGCTCCTGAGATGCTCATTCGGCCGGATTTATGAGAGAAATCATTGTTTTTTTTTTTTCACATTCTCAGATCTCTGTGTACAATTTTTGTTAAGCTAGAACCAAATAATTTTGAAATAAACTGAAACGGGTTCAGCTCTGTCCGTTTCTTCAAAAGCAGTCAAACTTTAAACTCCACAAAGCATCAACATTTGATATTTGATTCGTTGAAACGGATTGTAGCGTATCTGTAAAAGCTCGCTAAATACAGAATTTATCACCTCGAAACTCAACCAACTATTCATATCGATAACAAAGAGAAAAATGGGGGAAATGGAAAAGAACTAAACTAAAATGCGGGAATTCCTAAAAACACGCAAAATAGACTAGGAATGTCTGCACAGATTGAACACAAATCAAATGCGGAAATCTAACAATGAATCAAAGCACAGATTAATACACAAAATCCCATCGGAAAATTCGATTTTCTAAATTTCCAAGGCTTAACGATACAGGGCTTAACGATTATTAATTGGTCAAAGTTAGTGCAAACGAGGAAATCGATTACGGTAGAAAGTACGCTGGGGTAACGTCTGTTCGGCAGAATTGCTGATTTCTATTTTGCGCTAACTTTGGCCGGTAAGCAAAACTAATCAAATACAATGCACAAATGATAAAAGTGTCCAGTGGGGTCCAATCGACGGTAAAACAAACAGATAGTAAATAGAAGCGAACCGTAACGTACACGTAAAGCCGATCTCGTGTCATTTTCGATTAAATACAGTACGATGATCATCAAAAAAGACCAAAAGTCAGTGTTTCCAGGAAAATTTTATAAAAGAATCTTCTAAAAGCCGGTAAAAGTAAGGCCCGTAAAGTGGTCAGCAAAGAAAAAAAACAACAAGTGAATCAGTAAAAAAGGAACAAGTAGATAGATTTCTTCAGGGGAAAACCACAAAATCAACATTTTCACCCCATAAATGGAAGACTCTGGAAAGGGAAAATGAGCATTCCGGATAATATTTAAACGATGGAGCAATTTTTTTTGAGGCAAAACAGAAACAAAAGACAGGCACGAAGAAAATTTGGGGAACAATAACAGATATACGATTACAGCGAAGCTAAACTAACAACAAAACAATTCTACTTGCCGATTGAGCGATTGTCGGAGCCTCCCCACTTCATTTCTTGACACTTTTCCTTATCTTCTCTAGCTCTTTCCGTTCCGTCTCGTACTTGACCAGTATCTCGTCCTGCATCGAGGTCACCTGAAAGCAAAAAAAATGTGTTAATCGATGCTTAATAACAATTTCTAAAGCCTTAAATCATAATTTTCAGCCAATTAATGTCAAAAGTCGCATGCTTTACAAAGTCATTTAGCCATACACTCTGTTAGATGATTAGTTGCTTAAAAATTCTCATTGCTTTACTTTTTCTCCTTTGGAATTTGGATCCAGACTTAAAAGAGACTAAAAAAATTCGACATTACATATGAAACTTAAATCCCCGTACCTCATCTTGTCTCCAATGTGCAAACGAGCTGTGGGTGAGCGGCTTGGCGAATGGAGCGTACAATTTCTCACCGCCAACCGTCAATGTGTCCGGCATTCGAGTGATACACCTAAAGCAAAATACGTGATAATCAATGCAATTCAATCCAGTAAAATACAAGGATGTTCGACTTCAAATTCTCACCTTCTAGCTAATGGTGGAAACAGGAAGTCGACCGTATCAGTGGCCATCGATAAATACGTTGAGACAAGTCCCTTCGAGTCCGCTCTTCGCACTTTTCCGCTCGGGTCGATGATGAGAATTCGCGAGATCGGGATGTCCACAGCACGATAGGAGACCGTGTCCTAAAAGGAAACAAGTTACTAAATTTGAAATAATTAACGACCGAAGCTGTTGTTAAGAAAATAGAAGAAATAAGTGTGTAGAAGTAAATTGTTGAAAGCTCCCTACCGTTTCTCGATTCCCGAAGCCAGAGAAGAATGGATGTTTGACGGGGAAGAGTTTTCTCAAGTCGCTCAACGCCGCAATCTTGAACTCCTCGGGTCGACGCTCAATCACTTCCCTAAATGGAATGATTTATATTTGAATGAAAGCTCACGATCACTTGCAAGTACTTTCAAATGGCTAAAGAGCTAATAGGGAAATTCTATATTCACCTTCTGAAAGCGACAAGCACCGATGTGGGTGAGAGCAGGACGGGGCCATCAGGAAGAACTTGCTGCTCCTGGGCGACACTCTTCAGGTATTGTTTCGTCGTGTGCGACTGACCGATTGCTCGCGATGACAAGTAGACAATCTTGTAACTGCAAAGAGGAATTGGATTAGTAAAGGCATTGATAATCTCACCCATTATCCTTGATTCTCGAGTAAAGTTCGGCCACCCCAGTATGCGCCTAAATTTTATCGTAAAACAATATAATAACCACAAATACAACAACTGCGACACATGCACAACAATCAACAAATCAAAGTCAAGTGATGGTTGTGCATGTGTCCTTACGATATGTAAAACTTACCCATTGACCACCGATTGCTGGAATCACATGTCCAAGTACATCACTGAAAATAGGCCAATTAATCCCCAAAAATGAATCACCAAGGTTACCTTTTCGTAATCGTTCCATCAATGTCCGAGATGACGATCTTCTCGTACCATTTGTAGAGGTAGACATTGCAACTGCACCATGTAGTTCCCTAAAAAAAGCTCTTATACTTTAACCTCAATTCGCCAAATAATTTTTTCTTCGGCTGTAGTTTACCTGAAATTTCGTGGTTATACTGAAGCGCACATCATTCACACCCATCTCCAGGCCGAGCTGTTTCAATTTGTCCGACGAGAGGCGCAACGAGCGGTAGTATCTGAAAAAAAAGATGTAAATCTCTGTGGACAATAGGGTTTTGTAGGCGAGTGCCTTTTACAGAAATTCGAAAACACAATCGAAAAGTTCCCTTACTTCTTTCCACCCTCGATCTCGATCTCGTCACCCTCATCCTCGCTGAACGGACTGAAATTAGCCAATTAGGTAGCTCTTAATCTCAATAATAATTCTTGTAATAGCTTCTTAGCGCAGTCGACCCTTTAGAACTTTGTTAAGCTTACAAAATGGTATCTGAAGTTGTGCTTCTTTGATCGCTTGCGTTTCTCCTTCGATCTCCCTCTTCAACCGTTTGTTGTTGTTTCTGTTTGCTTTTGGCAGCAATCGAGATCGCCGCAGCCACCGTCTCTTGCGTTGGTGTCTAAAATTTTGTGTTTTGTGCTTTGTGCTTTAGATCTTAACTATTTTAATATCATGACATCTTAGTAAAATTTTTAAAAATATTATCGTTGTTTTACCTTATCGCAAATATCATTGTCACTGCTTGCGCCACTCCCGATCACAGTTGGGCTACTCGGCTGAGATGGTCCGCCAGAAGATCCATGTCCACTATCCGGATAAGTGAGGCTAAAGCAAAAATTGATTGAAGCTATTGAATTGGATTAAATTTTCACAAAATCTACTCACCTAATCGGTGCACTTTTTCCCAAATACTTCTCAATTTGGACGGGATCATTGGCGGCCCCTTTCCCAACGAGATCATCCAAGTAAATCCCGGGTTCTTCTTCGGTTTTCTTTTTTTCTCGGCTTTCAGTCGGCTTTGCTGGCGATGAGGCAGGGCTTCGACCTCTCCACGACCATCTGTAAATGAAGCATTATGAAACTCTAAACAAGCTGAGCTCAGAAAATTTCCACATCTTAACTTCCAAGACTGGTCGAGTATTTTAGTTAGCCTCACGTCCACTCACCCAGACCACCAAGAAGACGATGACGATCGCTCCTTTGGCTTCTCTTGTTCCCCCTTCTTTTGTTCTTTTGCTCGTTTCTCTTGATCTTCACGTGTCTCCGGGAGTTGACCCCATTGCCAATCAGTCACATCAGACGCTTGCTAAAAAAGAAAAATTTTTCAAGTTGCCAAATAAAATTCTAGACTAAGCCACGAAAAGATAGGTTTCGAGGATTTGCAAAGAATTTTAGAAAGAACCGGAAATAAACTAAAATTGTTAGTTGATCTAGCTATAGTGCTGACATAGCTTGTCTATTGAAATAAAGTTTTCAAGCGTTTCAAACTACACATTTAAACTAAAGTTTCATGAGTTTGTGCTAGACGAGAAACGTCTTCACGATTGATTTCTTGGCAAGCTTTTATCGTTAGCACATCTAGTTTGTTCCCTTCCCGATGAACCAACCTTCTTGATATATCGTCCCCTTAGCGGGCGTAGTCTAGCCATCTAATGGTATGCTATTTACCCCAAATTTTCCCACAACTCACCGGTCTAGGTTGATCACGGCGATTGTGTCGATCGACCTCCGAATCAGATAGACATCCATCAGCCAGCGCATCCACATCAGTTCCGTCAACCAACGATCCAGATGGAGAGGAGAGTGTCGACGAAGAGGCCGTCTCTGATTCAACGTCTCCATCGTGTTCAGTCTCCTAAAACAGGACTTTTAATAGTATTATGCAAATCACTCACAATATGAATCGAGATTGGCTCCGTTGCAAAAGCGACTCGGCTTTTCTTCCTTCGAACCGACGATGAGAGCTTCCTTTCGGCCTTGAGCGATTTGAGGAACTCGTCGATTGACATTTTCTAAAAGAAAATGCATAACAGTCAATATTTTCAAAATATTTTCAAACCGGTTCAATCGGTAATCCCTTATTTGACAACGAGCGCTTGTGATTGAACATTGATGAGTGTTGCGAAAATTTCCTAAAAAAAGGATGTCAAATTTATTGAAAAATCTAAACAAACCAACCTTTGTACCGGCGACAAATCGACTTCAACTTTTCCCTTTTTCGCATTATTGTTGAGTGTGATTTGATCGGCTGTATGATCTTCTTCAGTCAAATATCCATGATGTTGGTCAGCTACTGTCGTCAAATCGGGCAGAGACCGATTCCGTCGTTGTGAGAACACTGAAGAGAGTCGTGGCAGTGCCAATTTGCGCTCCTTTTCCTTCTCGGCGGCTTTTGCCCTAAAAAAAGTAAAGTTTTTATGCAGTTGAAGTAACTTTTCTTTGTTGTATGATATTAAGAAACCAGACGAACACGTCTAACTTATAGCTTATTGTATCTCAATTAAGTTTTTGATCATGCTAATCTACTCACTCATTTACGTTTCCAATTTGACAACTTTCAGCACTTGTCTACAACTCTTTTCCCGCCACTTCTAAATGCAAGAATAATCAATACCTATGCATAGTAGCCGGGAAAAGTGTCACACGCCACACTGTCACACTATTTTACGCCTTCCACAACTACTTACTCCTTCTGTGCCCATGTTTCTTGTGTTGATTTGGTCGGTGGCGGTGTTGGTGATCGACTCTCCGACACATCGCTGCCCTCGCTCAACAATCGAGTCTAAAATTTGAAAGGTTAGCTATGCAACTTGTCAAATTTACAAGATTTTCCATTGAAATCTTAGCAGACACACCTTTGGGTCATAGCTTCGTTTGTGCTCCTCCAATTTCCTCGCCGATTCGTTGAGAATTTGATCGGTGTCCACTTGTTGAGTCGTTTTCGCTTCAACGCCCTCTGGGAGTGGAGACGTGGCCAAGTAGTCGGGTACCTAAATAAAATGGCATTGTTTAACTAACTACATAATAAATTGTATTCATTTCAATTGTACCTTATCCTCAGTCTCCTCAACAAAGAAAGCGACACCGTTCTGTCCCAATTTCATCTTTAAATCGATCTCCTCGCCGTTGATCGTGATGTCCACGTACTGAAAAGGAACAAAATTTATTTAACTACTCTATTGATGATACAAATCTAGCTATGCTTGATCATCCTAGTTAACAAACCTTTTCCGTGTGTGAGAAGACGCCATACTTGCCAAATCTCACGTGAAACGGAGTCGATTTGAGTGTGCCATCTGGTTGTTCCACGACCACCACGTCAATGGCTCCTAAAAGAAGAGAAATTGTTCATGATATTCAACGAGTAAAGTTATTTAAAAATCTTCGTTTTCTAACAAGTTTAACGACCATCAGCTTTGAAATTTAGCTAATTTCAAGTTGGCAAGCAATATTTGAAGTAGAATTAAGTTTTTCACAGCCCATCAACGAGTTTTTTCTTTACTCGACATAAAAACACACCTGATAATGTGGCCGGGTTGATCGTATTGTAGAAATAGCGAATATTGTTCACCACCCGATAGGCGTAATCCATTTTTGCGCGTTGATGTGACGAAACAAGACGATGAAGTAGTTGAAATGAAGAAAGTCACCTGAATTTGAAAAAGTTAGAGAATTTAAAGCTATTAACACAGTGTAAAGACGGCTATTGACTAAAATTTAGCTTTACAAAGCAAAAGTTAGCTTTCGGTTGCGTTTTAAAGCTTTTAAAACGGTAAATGAACCAAAAGCCAGCTGTAAAAAGCATCTCAACTAATCAAATAAGTTATTTTAACGTTTTTAACGTTTAAAACGTTTAAAACGCTTTAAACAATTGAATTAGCATTTCTGACAACAATTTAGGCGAAAATGGACTTTTGTTATCAATAAAGCTAGTTTAACGTTTAAAATACTCACCCGTTAATAAAAAAGACCCAGCAATCGTCAGTGAGAGACCCGTCTCAATGGGTGATGAAAGCCACCTTCTTCGCGTGTAGAAATCTTTCTGGAATCAACAAAGTATAGCAATGTAAATAAGAGTCAAGAAATTGAGTAGAATGAGCAAAAAACAACAAATTCACTGAATAATTGCTTTAAAATACCGAATAATTGCTTCAGATCAACCTAAAATGATTGACAAAAACGTTTTAGAATGATTTTAAACAGCTCTAGAATAGTTTTTTTATCATTTTTGAAAGTATTACAAGATAAAAACAGATCGAACAAGATTTTGATGTGATTTTATAATAGACTCGAAGAGATTTAGCAAGATTTTGATATGGTTTTTGGTAAAAATCACATCAAAACAGCTTGGTTGACGAACAAAAACATGAATCTTATCGTTTCTAAAAATAAAATAAGAGTTTTCGGGCCGTTTACTTAAAAATTTGTGATGAAATCGAGGAAAAGGACAAGCTTCGTCACCAAGATACAAAGAAAAATTGATCGGGTAACGTCGGAAACGGGTTTTTGCGATTTTCGAAATCAACAAAATTTTGAAATTAAGCTCTTGACCTCAAAAATATTAGAGGAAAATGAAAAAGTGCGCCAAAAAAGTTACAGATCACTGAATGCAAAAATTAAATTGATTTTTCTATCGACTGCTTTCCAGATTGCACAAATCTGAAGCAAAAATTGGATGAAATTGGATGAAATTGGATGAAATTGAATGAAATTAGTCAAAAATCCAAGAATTCGATGGATATTGATTTTATTGAATGCAGAATTTCGCTTAAATGTAAAAGCTGAAGAGCTGAAGAGCTAAAGCTGAAGAGCTAAAGCTGAAGAGCTAAAGCTGAAGAGCTAAAGCTGAAGAGCTAAAGCTGAAGAGCTAAAGCTGAAGAGCTAAAGCTGAAGAGCTAAAGCTGAAGAGCTAAAGCTGAAGAGCTAAAGCTGAAGAGCTAAAGCTGAAGAGCTAAAGCTGAAGAGCTAAAGCTGAAGAGCTAAAGCTGAAGAGCTAAAGCTGAAGAGCTAAAGCTGAAGAGCTAAAGCTAAACAAGTTAGCTGAAACTTTTCCAATATTCCTCCGGTTGCATTCCTGCAAATTCAACAAAGAAATTAAAGAACTGGTTAGAAATTTGACGGGTATCGGGCATCGAAAGAAAAGAAAGATGTCGGAAGTGCGCGCAAATAACGTGCACAAATGCCCGTCTTTCTTTGTGAAAGGGTTGGGTTGGGGGGCAAAGAACGTCCAGGGTTAGTTGGAGGGAAATATTGTGGAATTGCGAGAGGTTTAGACAGGGGAGAGGCCGTGGGCGGCCGAGCGGTCATCGACTATATAGTGAGGCAAAAAGAGACGGAGATGCTACACCCCGCAATTCTCTTTCTCTAGACACCCAATCGATTCTGCAGCAAATAAATAAACAAAAGTGCAAAGCGTCAAGGATATTTTCCAGTCATAAGGCCTTGTTTTACCATAAAAACAATCCTCTCACCATAGAAACAATCCTTTTTTTTACTAGAAATTGCAACACTTGCCCTGTTAAGTAGAAACAATCCTTTGTTTTCTAAACATTGCGATACTTGCCCTGTAAAGTGCGCTCCAGATTGGAGAAAAAGTGAGATTTGATTGGATAATATTAACCATAAGCATATAAAATAGTCGATTGAAGTCATCATGCTTAAGAGTCCAATCGAACTTTGCACTTATCAGACTCCCTTTTCCTGTTAAAGTGTAAAGTGCGCTCCAGATTGGAGAAAACATGAGATTTGATTGGACAATATTAATCATAAGCATATAAAATAGTCAACTGAAGTCATCATACTTCAATGTCCAATCGCAGTTTACACTTGTTAAACTCCTTCGCACTGTTAGAATGCAAAGTGCGCTCCAGATTGAAGAAAAAGTGAGATTCTATTGGATAATATTAACCTTAACCATATAAAACAGTCAACCGAACCCATCATACTACAATGTCCAATCGAACTTTGCACTTATCAGACTCCCTTTTCCTGCTAAAGTGTAAAGTGCGCTCCAGATCAAAGAAAATTTGAGATCCTATTGGACAATATTGGTTTTTTTGACAAAGAACACATCTTAAACTCACTTTGAATCGAAAACCTAATGTTTTCACCGAAAATTTTCAACAGATCACAAAACGATAACGATAACGATAAGGAGCAGCTAACAGAAAACGAAAATCCGTCGGCCATATGGCGTGAACGGTTTTTCTAAACAATTTCTCCCATCTTTTTTTTGGTTCTGCTTATCACATTTCGACCTTTTCCCCAATTCGCACACACGCCACCAAGTGTATACAATTTTCTTTTTTTTGCTGAAAAAAATGAACGAAACGAATGAAACGAAGTACGAAATCGTTGAAAAAGGAAATATCCAAGGTAAGGGTAAACAAGTGACAAAATAAAATAATCATATCATAATAAAATCATAAAATCTGGATCATCTACCGTAATCAAAACTTTATCAAGTAGATTTTGATACGATTTTTGTAGGTAATTGAAATTTTCAAAAAATCAAATCTCTAAGCTGGAGTGCACCCTTGGAGGAGTTGAGCTTAAAAGCTGTGAAAGTTGGATTAGACAAGACTTAATAACTTGACCTGACAAAACTTGACCACAAAATTCACGACTATTGCGTTGAATTTAAAAACTTTTTTAAAGAATCGTCGAATTGGATGTCACGGGTGAAAATGTGAAAATGTGACACTTGTTACAATGGCTGGGAAGTTTTCAGTCATCGAGGGGGGAGGGGAAGGGTGGAGCCAAGGCTGGAGCCAAGGCTGGTAGACAATAACACACAAAAAAGGAATAAGGGGTTGAAAGGGGAAAAATGGAAACAAGACAAGGACAAGTTTTTACGGTGAATGGGCTTTTATATAGAAGTTTTATATAGACGAGAATCTCAGAAAATCTCAAAAATTCGTAAATTTACATGAAATAATATTGAACAACGAAACCAAAAGCGAAAACAGCAGAAAGAGAGACAACGGATGCAGAAAAAACCTCTGAAACCGCAGTTGAACTCAATAAAAGCTGTAAAATTTAAAATCTATTGATTTCGAGAAAAGAGATGACAATCCTGGATGTCACAGAAAAAGTTGATCCTTTCAATTTTGAGAAAATTCTAATGTCTAATGAAAATTCTAATTTTCTGATGTGCAGTTGAAAATCCACTAATGCCAGCTTCAAAGAAGAAAAACTGGCTAGCAATCATTTTTTTGAGATTGTTGAAAGAAAGAGGGAGGATCGGGTGATCCGCGTGAAATTGGGAGAAAGAGCGGATGTGAAACAGACGAAAGAGAAGTGGGGGAGAGGTTGATCAGGCCATTCAACGAGTACAGAGCGAAATCTATGCCAATTCGCTAACCAGTTTCGAATTTTACTTTCAATTCCTCCAAACTGGATGTCATGCAAAGTTTTGAGGCAAAAATGCACTGTCTAGGCTGACTCTAGAGCTAGCGCTGCTGACCAAAACGCTAATTTGATCAAAATTTAAAAATTTTTTAAATCTTGATAGTAATTCTTGCAAACTGGATGTCATGCTATTTTCTGAGACAAAAATAAATTGCCTAGATTGCAGGGAAAATTTGGCGGGAAAAGGTGGACATGTGGAGACATTTCAAAGACGATAAATTTTGTCAACAACGAACAGAGCTCTCGGTGGATGGCACATTGCCGAGATCAAACCCCAGACACACTTTTAATCTCTCGAAATTTCCGAGGGAAGAGAAAAGGGATGAAATGGCGTGGTTAGGGGCTGACTGGGTGAGGGGGGAATCACGTGGGGGTTCGCCGCTCCTCCCCTTCCTTTCACCGCTTCCCTGTTCATCTCGATTCCTCAATTATCCATTTTTTTCTCAATCCTGGAACGCACGAAACATTTTTAAGCAAAAAAAAGTGAGATAGGTGAAAGTTTTTTGATTGAAGAGATAGCGAAGGAAGTGCTCGAAGTTTGCTTTGTCTTCCGGTTACCTATAGAACTAATTTCTAAATTTTTGCCAATCCTGGAAAGCATGTAACTCATAGGTTTGCTGAAGATGAAGTGGTGAGATCAGAATCAGAATTTGGGTTAGGAGGTGAAGTAGTGCGGATCTGCTCATGGCTCTATTGCGCTTCTCAGCTTCGTTCTAACCAAAATTTTCAAATTTTTGCCAATCCTGGAAGGCATGTAACTCATACGCTTGCTGAAGATGAAGTGGTGAGCACAGAATCAGAATTTGGGTTAGGAGGTGAAGTAGTGCGGATCTGCTCATGGCTCTATTGCGCTTCTCAGCTTCCTTTTAACCAAAATTTTCGAATTTTTGCCAATCCTGGAAGGCATTCAATCCAGAAACGCTATTCTGACTCCTAGAATTCTAAAAAAAAAAAAATTTGAGGTGATTTGAGATCACGTGGCGGTGGCTTCTATTCACCCGTTTCCTTCTTTCACCCTTTTAATCTTATCCCTTTTTCTCTTTTCCACTCTTTGCATGAATCTCTCGCTTGCAATACATCACGCCATGTGCTCTCAATTGAAAAAAGTGAAAAGAAAAATGAAGAAAATGAACAAAAAAGAACAAAAAAGAATAAAAACTAAACTCTATCGAAAAATCGGGA